AAATATTGTTATGGTGGAAAAATCTTTGGGTAACTTAGCAAATCTAATTTAAGTGTAACATTTTAAAACATGCAAATTTAAATATAGTGACCTTATGAAATGAACAACATTAAAGGTAACCCTGAGTATCCTTCTCAGAGACTGACACACAAATCTGTTTTAAGGCAGAAGTCTGAACAGACGTGCTGTCACCCTGACCACTACAGGAGATCCTTCCTCTCTGCTCTCCTCTTGTTCTTAAGGGGAATCATTATTGCCAGTTACATGATGGATTACTTTCCCTTATTTTTGCTGAAAAGACCCCATTTCATAGCCCTCTCTATTATTAATGATTGCCTCCATGTCTGACTGTGGAGAGGAGATTCTGCTCGTCATAATCTGGCCTTTTGAAATATGTCAAAACTTCACCAGTCTGCTTTCATTAGTCCTTAGCAAAGGCTCCCAAAACTGAGTCCAAACAACTTGTTTAAAAAGAACAGATTTCATTGTTGCCTCTGACCCCCAGATTCCACATCCTCCGTCAGCGCTCCGCTCTGCGCCGCTCACGTACGTCGTGCGGAGCACTTGTCTGTCACGTTAATCAATGAGAGCTGTTCCAAATCCACCGCTACTCTTCCGCACGTCTCCGTCAACGTACGTCTTCTCCATCTTCCACCATCAAAATACGGAGCCGAGCCATTTTTTGCTCTTCTCCGGTCCGGCCAGGTCAAGATCCGCTATTCCAATCGCACCAAACAGGAAAAAGAAGATCCAATTCGTCAAATTGAAATATAGTAAGGACCGATTGGTAACTACAAATTAGATCATAGTTCTTATATATTCCCCAAATCTAAGACCGTTTAATTAAATGATTGGATGCAAACTATTGGTGCTTCAACAGACCAGGAAGCAGATTTCTCATCTCCAACAAAATATTTACTTTCTATCCTCTGCAGACGGAGAGAAAAATCTCTGACCAGGGCGAGCCCAGCAAACATATTGATAGTGTACAAATCCCTACACACACTCGCAGGGGAAACCAACCCACCCCTGCATATAAAGAACTTTCTCACACAGGAACATTGGTTCTTCCCAAGAAAAACAACTTCAGTTCATCAAGGACATGAATTTTTCACTAAACATTTCACAGCTGTCTTCCGTTTAGCTCATGATCTTAAACGCCTTAAAGGGCGCATTATCTGTATTTCACCTTTGTCTAGAGTCAGGAGGCAACTACTCTCTGGCACCCCTACTTTTAACTTCCTGCATAACATTCCAGCATAGAGGCAGGTACAAGATTTCTCTACGATCACTCCTATGGGGCCGAGAAAAGGCACACTCAAATATTTCATCTGACACAGCTCACCATGTTTGTTCTTCCACTGAACGGCCCGACGCTCTGATGCGATCTACCTGCTCTCACTGCACGTCCAGAAACCACACGTCTGACTCGGTGCTGAGAGATGGCGCTGGTCGGACTCCCGTCAATCTGGAGGAACAAGAAGAAGAACTTCCTTGTTTGCATAGAGGTCGAGGTTTTGGTAAATCTGCTCGTAGCTCTGCTTTAACACCAGGATTTAGCCACGAGCACCTCACGAGTGACTGAATTTGATTTTCTTCTGACCTTACGGGATGCATGATGCGGCTGAAACTCGGCCCGATTAAAAAAATTTTTCCCTCTAGTGGAAAATCGGCCCAAAAAGGGCAAAATATCGTACATTTTATGCCCGGCTTTAGACGATTATAAAACTTTAAGACCGCAGTAGATTAGCATTAAAATATGGGGCGGAGCTAACCTAACATACTGTTATATTACTCATTTTTTCTGTTTATTAGCAAGTCAAAAGCTTTGACAAAGTTAAACTTTTTTCCACCATCTAAACAGATCAGAGATGAACTATTAATGAGTAAATATTTAGTATTATAAAGAAGGGCTGGAAATAAGGGGGGGGGGGGTAATAAATCCATTTTCTTTGTCTGCTATGTATATGTAAGTTTTTGAAAACCTTTTTTTTGTTCATTTTTTAGACACTTTTGGCTTCCGTTGCTTAAAGTTGCTCGTCTGTTTTTGCTCTTGGTTGTTTCTTGTGTGACGCCACCTGCGTCACACAAGAACATGCGTGTTATATTTTCATTGTTTACAATGGCGGCTTGTTTTCTAAGTTTGGACTTTAAATTTAAATCCTAGAAAGGATAAAAGATCAAATTTTAAAAGTAAAAGCATTTGGATTTGGTATAGTTGGTGTTTTATTTGTTCTTGCTGACTGAACATGTTCCTCTGTGATTTCAGGAAAGACGCGCTCGGTGCGCCGCTCCCTGTTTGCTCAGTCCTCTGGCCTCGGCAGTGGCGTTTACTGGGAGTGGGCCAACGACGAAGGCAGCTGGACCCCCTATGAAACTAGAACTTCCATCCTTCTGGAGCACAGCTATCAAGCTCGCCAAGGCACGGCGGACTTGGGCCCCCATGGATATAATTACATCGTTGATCTTACTTCTCTGGCCCAGGTCAATAAATCCACCGGGTTTAGGCGGCAGGTGCGGCGACAGTGCAACCTGCCCTACCCTCTGGCCACCTCCGGGCCCCCGGCCATCCCCTCGGCCCCCGCCTGCTCCTGCCAGCAGTGTTTGAGCCACAGCAGCACGGGACCTATGCCCAGCCGCTCTCGTCATTCCTTCTCTTCCAATAGTCTGACCCGACCCACCCTCCAAGGGACGGGGAGGGTCGCTGCTGCTCACCCTACTTCCGTCTACTCGCCCTACCCCAGAAGACCCCTCTCTGTGGGGGGAGTGTCTTGGGGCAGCCCGTGGCCTCCCCCGCCCTCCGCTGGACGAATGCAGACGCCTCATTTGAGCGGCTCTTCAAGTGCTAACGGGTTAAGGTTAGTTTCTGCTTCTTGCTGAATCAGTTGCAGTGAGTTCTTCCTCTGACTCATTTAGCTGAAAGCTAAGGCGTTGCTTATGTCCACTACTCCCGTCCTCACCCCCCCCATGTCTCCTCACCCATCCATCCTGTCAAACAGGAATAGCTGAAAATGGCCCATAGCTCCAGTGGTTTTTAGTGATGTTTTTTCTGCCTCGGTTCCTCTTAATCTTCCCTGTCGTTTAACCTCCCTTCCTTTTGTTCCTAAAGGCAAAGAAAGCAGCTTCCAAAAGACAAACTGCTAGCCTAATGAGTGTAATGAATATGCAGTTCACTGGCACTTCATTTGAGGTCTAATTTTCTTCAACGCTGAGTTTAATTTAGTCTCTTCTTAACCACGGGTTATTAATAATTGTGCGGCGCAAAACTGCAGGTTTTACCCTCCGCTTTACTAAATTCCTAAAGCTTTCCCCAAAACACATGTGCATAGTTTGCTTTTATTATAACTGGAAATGAATATTCCAAAGCCAATAACCTTTTTGACATCTTTTTCTCATCGTATATTTTGTATGATGCACAAAGTGGCGCATGGGTGACTTCCTTTAAACAGAACAGGGAAAATAGATGGAGCTAAATTCAAGGCAGCTTAATAACAAAAGGTTTGGAAGTGCAGAAAACTTCAATATGGGATTAAAATTCACCTTTCAGCCATAAAACAACCTTAAACATACAACCAGAGCGACATTGGAAGGGATTAGATTAAAGCAGATTAATGTGTTACGGCGACAAAGTCATTGTCTAGATTATATAGTTGATGTTTCCAGATTCTTCAGCTTGAAAGAGCTTTAGCCGGTTTGCTAATAGCTAGTAGAGTATAAAAAAAAATAAAATAGCTAGTAGAGTATAATAAAATAAATAAAAAATAACAAAAACTAAATAAATAATAGCTAGTAGATATATATTGTGTATTATCCTTTTAGTTTTGTAGACTTTAAACTACCTCAACAGTACGAAATATAGAGTTTTAGCTAACTTAATGGGTGTGCATCCCTTTAGTCATGTACGAAAAATAATTTAAGGTGAGATCGCCATATGCTTCAAAAAACACCAAAAATTAAGTATTTAAATTGTGTGTTTGTGCATGACTAAAGGGATACACACCCATTAAGTTTGCTAGAACTCATCTGACAGAACAGCGGTCACTCATACAATAATTCCCGTTCCTGGTCCTAACTCCTTCCTGACCTCCTGCACTATT